GTAAAACTAATTTCATAATAATACTAATTGCCTAATATTAATTTCATTTTTCACTGTGGTGAAAAATCAGTGCAAAAGCAGTGGTGGTTAAACTGTTGATAGCTTAGCATGAATCAAGCAGTGATACTATGCTATACTGATGGTCATAGTCTTCACTACCCTGCACTCACAGGGGGGAAAAAGCCAGTTTCACTTTTTTTACTCTCTATTATGAAACAGTGAAAATTATTAGTTTTATTAAATCCTGGCCCTTAGGAGCACAACCTTTTAATATTCCATGTGGCAAAATAGGAAGTACCCATAAGCACTTCTGTTGCATGTTGAATGAAGTACAGTGGTTGTCTTGAGGAAAAGCACTTGTACCACTGTTTGAGTTGTGAGCTGAACTACCCATATTTTTCATGGAAAACTGATTTTACTTGAAAGAATGACTGACAAACTACAGTATTTGGATTTAAAGGACATTTTCTTCAAAAATTAATGAAGTAAGCTTGTCATGTCAAGGAAAACAATTGACAATGTTTGTTACCAACAATAAAAGGCAAGCTTTCAAGTGAAAATAAGAATTTTGGGAAACTTGTATACACGTCAGTTATCTTGATAGCTTCCCGATACTTAACAACATTTCCGACGAGATCAGTGGTGATATTAATGAATGTGGTTTTTTTAATATACTGTATAATGACATGTGATGAAATCTGGAAGATCTGCATAAATCAGTGAACCAATATTTTCCAAACGACCAATGCATGGTTTTACTGAATCATACATGGGTAAAGGATACATTCGAAGTGGAAGGTAGACCAATAGATTTCCTTGACATCATTTCAAATTCCACACCCACTAACCTTAAAGAAACTATCACTTGTCCAGTTCTGGTGTAATGTCATAGAAGACTGTCCACAATGATTTCAAAAGGCTATTAAAATATTCCTCCTTTTTTCATACCGGGTATGCAAGGATGGTTCAGCATTAGAAAATCAATCAACGTAATCCACCACATAAATAAAAGGAAAGAAAAGAATACATGATCATCTCAATTGACGCAGAAAAGGCATTTGACAAAGTCC